CCTATCCATAAAACGGTGAAGCTAAGAAACAGCATCATGAATTTTAAAATTGTCCCGGGAGAACCTTTTTGGAAGTATTTTGACCGATTTAAAGATCTTCTTATCCAATGTCCTCATCATGGTTTAGAAAAATGGCGATTGTGCCAAATAATTTATGAGGGATTAGATTACTCTGTAAAAACTTCCTTAGAATCAATGTGCCATGGGGATTTCATGAGGAAAAATGTTGACGAAGCTTGGGAATTTCTAGAGAGTCTATTCGAGAAAACAATACAATGGGAATACTGTGATGACAAAGTTTCATCAGTTCCCTATTCTAAGTCTAGTGGTCTTTCCTTGGAGTCAAACATTGCTTCTGAAGCGAAGATGACAGCAATTCTGCGGAGGTTAGAAGCCTTAGAAATTAAGGAACGAGCTTCAGCTCAAATCAATCATGTTTCTGCCCCAGGATGTCATAATTGTCAGCCTCCTACCCACGTTTCAGAGGAATACCCTCTCCTAGGAAACAACAATGCATTAGAACATATGAATGCTGCATTCCAGCACCCTAGAAATGATCCATTTTCTCCAACCTACAATCCAGGTTGAAGAAATCATCCCAACTTTGCATGGAATCAAGGAAATTCTCCCGGAACTCAAAACTTCACTCCCGCTTAAACCCAACATTTTCCTAAGGGGAACACAGTTCCTTTCAATTCTCATCTACAATTTCAACAACCCAATCTGTCGTATCAAAATCAGTCTCCTCTTCATCAAGCTGTAATTCAGACTCATCACAATCCAGATCAGGATAAACGTCTCAATGTCTTGGAAAAGGGTTTGGAAACCATAATTAAGGCCTCCACTCAAACCACAAATATGTTAACTCAAACATCTAGCACTCTGAATTCCTTTATGCAATCAACCGGACAAATGCTCAATTCCAACACGCAAGCTATTGCTAGATTAGAATCCCAACTTGGTCAACTAGCTAGTGCCGTGAGTGAAAGAGAGAAAGGAAAATTTCCAAGTCAACCCGTGGTCAACCCTAAGGACACAAGATGCAATTCATCCTATGAAGCTCAAGTGAATGCAATTCATTCACTTCGGTCAGGTAGACAGGTCGATAATCAAGTGAGAGCTCAAGTCTTTTTAGCCGCCAATATCAGTGAAATGCTATCAAATCTCATACCTTTGAAACGTAAAGATCTAGGTTCCCCATCATTTCATGTGTCATTGGTAATACTCACATTGATAAGGTACTTTTAGACTTAGGGGCCAGTGTCAATTTGCTTCCATATTCAGTCTACTAGCAATTAGGTCTAGGTGTACTGAACCCAACTAAATGCACCTTACAGTTGGCTGATAGATCTGTTAAGATCCCTATGGGTGAGTTAGAGGATGTTCTAATTAAGATTGGAGATTTTATTTTTCCAGTAGATTTTGTAGTCTTAGAAACACAGCCTGTTTCCAATCCCAAAGGATAGACACCTGTCATCTTAGGACGACCTTTCTTAGCCACTTCTAATGCTCTCATCAACTGTAGAACTGGTCAAATAAAGTTGTCCTTTGGGAATTTGACTGTTAATCTTAACATTTTTAATCCAGGGGATCAACCAAATAATCAGCCTCTAGAAATAAATTACATTCAGGAAAGATCAGAAGAAGAAGAAGAAGAAGAAGAGTCTGATTTGAGTTTTGAGGAAATTTTTGGTGAGGAGTTGGAAATTTTAGAAATAGCAGATCAGGTCTTTGAGAATAATAAAACTGTGTTAAATATTTGCTGCTTTGAATTAAATTTTGAAGAACTCTTTCTTGATGAACTTAGATTCTTGGAGAATAATCAACAACAGAACTCTACAGAAGAGTTGGTTGTTAGAAAACAAAACTTCACAATACAAGAGTCTAAGTTCATTAAGAAATGTAAAATGCGTGACACCAATAATACCTACCTTACTTTGTTGCAAGAATTATTGAACACCCCGAAATGCTTGGAATTTCACATTATTAATTATATCATTCTGAAATTATTTAAAATCCGGGGAAGAATTTTCAACAATAAGGTAGGATCCAATGTAGAATACGAGCTCTTCGTGTTGAACACTTCATTCTACATTATTTGTTTTGTTTATTTCAGAATAATAAAAAGAATTTATTCTTCTCTCATTTGAGAGTTTCTTGTTCAGTTGTTAAAAAAAAAAAGAAAAAGAAAAAAAAAGAAAAGAAAAAGAAGAATAAAATTTTGATTCCATCCTCCTCAGACCAAAGGTAATTGTAGATTTTTATCAGCCGACCAAATGTAAGTACTTCACTTCTTATCTGCTTTACTTTGTGCATCATAGAGTTTGCATTGAGGACAAAACAAAATTTAGGTGTGGGGGTGGGAGTTAGTTATTTTTTTATCTTTATTTTACATTTTTAGTGCATTTTTGTCATTTTTTTCCTTTTCCTTAAAAAAAATTATAAAAATATCGTCACTTGCCAAATTGATGGAGTTATGTAATAATTGATTTATTTGATACATTTTAAATTTTCTAATCTCTAGTTTGTTATTTACTCAAGTTTATGTTTATGATAACTCTAAATAAATTTCTTAAGAAATGATTTTCAAAGTAGTATACTTCACTTAAGTCTTAACTTAGATTTTTATTTAAAATAATGGAATGTATGCATGCTTAGCTTAGAGTTAAAAATAATTTTTCAAAGTGTCTTGACTTACATATTTTTCAGAATATATATACATATACTTTAAAAAAATTCAAAAGAAGAGTGCGAAAAATGGGCACCAAAAGAAAAAAAACTCTTAAATTCAAGGTGATTCTATCTTATAAAGCCTAAGTTGACTGAGTAATTAAGCCCAAAGAGTATTTTCATACTTAATGACCTAAACCCAATTGGGTTGGGATCCATTGGTCCAAAACTCGTTAAATGGTCGCTTAGAAAGCCCATTGAAGTAGAAAAAGATCACCAAGGAAGAAAGAGTTAAAAATAATATAAAAAATAATAAAAAATAAAAATACTAATAAATATTATATATATGTATATATGGTCTTGGAAAATATTTTAGATCAAGCAACTTGAATATTATTTGAAACAAAGAGTTAGCATGTTCTTTTCAAAACTTTTAAATTAAATTTCTAAGTTTGGCTTGGTTTTGTATTGCTACAATGAGAAGATTTTCTAGGAAATATACCTTAGAGTTATATATAAAAATGTTTTCTTAAGTAATAACTGGCTCCAATTAGATTATCTAAAAGTTATCAAGTGAATTTAGTTATTTACTGACTTCTTTAATTTGACAAGTTGACCAAATTTTGTGGGTATATTCACTGCAAACCCTCACGAGACTACAACTCGTCCACTAGGGTAACCTAGGGGTTTAAAGGCTTGTTGTATGCGCTAAATACAACCGCGATTCCTGCGAAAGTGAGTTAGCCAAAAGTCCAAGCCCAAAATCCCAAGAAAAATAAATATACCATCAAGGAACAAATGAAGAAGTTTTGTGAAAAAGGAAACAAATCATGCAATCTGGATATCTCAGTAATGTTTGGTATTTTGGCCATATCTCTCTCGTATCAACTCGGAATTGGCTGAATAAACATTCTCTGGAAAGCTAAGAATGAGATCTATAACTTTTGTATTTATGACATCTCTGAAATCAGAACATATTACGGACAAATATTCGTACAAAAAAGCACGATCTGAATTTCTGTGCTGGAGAAGTAATTATGGGAAGAATTTGAAGGTTAATGAAGAATAAAGCTTAAGATCTCTTCTTTCAGCAAAAACCCATTGAATTAGTGAAGAAAACAAGCAAAAGGCCTAAGAATTCAAGCCCAAAAGCTCAAAGGCTAAAAATGATTCCTTAGGGCTTAAGTCTTCATCCAAGGGCTCTCATTCATTGTTGTTTACTATAAATAGGGGTAGAGAGTGAGGGGTTGAGGGTGTGAAAATTTTTGTAACTCTTTTTTGAGAGGATGGATACTCTTAATTGAGAAGGCCTTCCAAATTTGTAACTTTTTGTTACAATTAATAATAATAATTTTTTTCACCACTTTAAATATTTCTTCTCTTTGTTGGATGATGAAGATGGAGATGAAGAATTATTTAGAGGTTTGCATTTCTTTCCTTTTTATCTTTTATTTCTCTTTTCTTGATTATTAGTTAGATTTATTTTCATGCTTGTAATTAGATTTTATTTTCTTGTTTAAATAGCCAAGATGCTAGAACCCTCTTGCCTTAGATTTATTTTATGCTCATAGATTAGATTTATTTCATGCTTATAGAGTAGATTTATTTTCTTGTATTTTTATAATTTATTTTGTAGTTTAGATTTTGCAATTTATTTTGTAGTTAGATTTTAATTTCTTGCACTATTCACCTTGAGGCTAGAACCCTCTTGGGTTTAGTTTTTCTTTTTGTTTATTTTTACTTTCTTTGATTCACTTTTAGGCTAGAACCCTCTAGGGAATCACCTTTTTCTAAGAAGAGGATTCAATTCTAGATTACCTAATTGAATCCGCTATCTTTACATTCTTGATTTTTTATTTGTTTCTCAATTTTATTCATTCTTCTTTCTTACCTTATTGATCATATTTATTCTCAAACACATTGATCTACACACTATCACTCTCATTATCTTTCTACAATCACATTCACTCATCATTCCTATTTGTCACGCACACAACATAAGAACCGATTTTATATTTTCTCCTACAAAAACACCTTCCTCGTGGGATCGATATCTTTATACTATAACTTGACACGGTTGTGCACTTGCAACCTTTTTGGTACATGTTTATGCCGCATCACCAGTGGACGGAGCTTGAGGAGCATCCGAAGTAATGGCAGAGGTCGAAGATCGTCTGGCTTTGTAAGGAGCATCTTTCGCATAAGCCGGCGACGATGGTGAGGATCCTTGGCGCTCAAAGGAAGTGGGTTCGGCAGAAGGAGGTGGGTTATGTTGTTCTCCATTACAAGTCAAGTTAGTTCAACTCTTTGCCCACCACTTGTTTGTTGAATTTACGCTTAGTGTTCTCTCTTATCAATATTTGATTTTGATGATTGTTGGTTACTCAAATTCTAATTTATTGTTCTGTCATTCTAAAATCTCATGAACCTGCAACTTGCAGCCTGTCCGTGATCTCTTCAAAAAGAATGTTGATGTCAAAAAACTATTGGAAAAAGTGAAGGTAACCTTTATTTGATGCTCAATTGCTCATAAGATCTGTACATTCATGAGATATCGACCATGACTTACATAACTGTGGTTCCTCTCTAGACATTATGTTTTAAAATTAGAACTATAGTTCTTACTTGCATTTATGAATACAATTTTCCTTGGAGTTGATGATTGATGTGAAAATCCACCCTCTTTTTGCAGGCGTACAGAGTTACAAGGTGATTATTCTTATTTGTTGGTGTTGGGAATGGTGACGAGTTGCAACATAAAAATTCTAATTTTCTTATTGCTTGGTGGTCCTTCAGATTCTTATTGTTCTTGTGGGTTTTGATAATTTGAAGCATTACGACATCAAAATCGATATTACTTTCATGTATTTTGATTTGGAAATACATGATAAGTTAGAATTGATATTGCATAAAAGCTTATAGATGATTCCTTTGAAAGTGGTATGAAGCCTCTTATGCTAGTGTTTCTTGATATTACTTTCATGTATTTTGCTTTGGAAATGCACGATAAGTTAGAATTGATAGTTAATAAAATTTTCTTATCATGCAATCATTAATTGTGGCATTTGTTTGTGCAGGAGCGTAGATTGCAACATTTTCATGATGGGATACATATATTCCATCATCAATGGCACACATTCATTCATTCATCAGAATATGAACTTCTAGGAGGAAAGATTGCGATTGCATTTGTCTCGGAGAAATCAAAAAATCTACTAGAAAATATTGTAATTATTGTGCATGTTGTAATCATGAATACATTGGTTTCAGAACTAAATGTGGATTGAGTATGAAAACATGTTTCTTTATTGAGGAATAATTAGAAATTGGATAGTCTGGATAGCCTTAAAGTAGTAAACTCCGAAGCGCCTCATCTAGAAGCGTAAACATGTCAGCAGTTGCTAATTGCTTGCTTCGGATATTTGATACGATAATGTTATAAGGGCCACGAGTGGTTATATATCTATGAAATGTTGTAATCAGTTATTTTTTTTGAAGCATATTATAAGGGCCACCAGTGGTTATATGTCGATGAAATGTGTTTCAGATCTTGTATTTTGTATCAAATGTGTACATTCATAGCTCATGGTATTGTTCCATACCAAAACTAGTGCTATTGGATAATTTTACGATATTTGGTTGATGCGTAACATTTATATATGTCTCATGTGTATGAGGTTCAGTTTTTTCAGAGGTCATGTTTTACGTATAAGAGTTGATGTTGTTACATAGAAAAAGAGATATATTATATTCAACTACGTCATGTAACGCGTGATAAATTATTCACCTCAACGAGGGGTCCTCGCTCAATTTTCTAGCTTTTGGCAAAGTATAGTACTTTATAGGAAAGTATAGCAGCTTATTGATAAAGTATAGCACCTTATGGCAAAGTATAGCACCTTATGGCAATAGTATAGCACATTATCGATAAAGTATAACACCTTATGGTCTTAGGATGACCTACAACTTATTGCGTTGCGATAAACTAAATTAGTTTTTTTAGGGCCATGCAAACACTCAAGGACCTACGTTATGTGTCGTGTGACCAATTATCCACCTCGACGATGAGTCCTCGCTCAATTTTTTAGCTTTTGGCAAAGTATAACACTTTATGAGAAAGTATAGCAGCTTATTGATAAAGTATAGCACCTTATGATAAAGTATAGCATCTTATGGCAATAGTATAGCACCTTATCGATAAAGTATAGCACCTTATGGTCTCTAAAAATTTAGAAACTTATTACGATAAACCAAATTAGTTTTTTTAGGGCCATGCAAACACTCGATGACCTACGTTATGTGTCGCCTGACTAATTATCCACCTCGACGGGAGGTCCTCGTGCAATTTTGAAGATTTTGACAAAGTATAGCACTTTATGGGAAAGTATAGCACCTTATGGCCAAAGAATAGTACTATATGGTAAAGTATAGCACTTTATTGGCAAAGTATAGCACCTTATTCGCAAAATATAGTACCTTATGCTCTCTGAAAATTCTGCATCTTAAGTTGTCTAAAACCAAATTAGTTTTTTTCACCACAACGCAAACACTCGATGACCTACGTTACGTGTTTATTGACCAATCATCCACCCCGACGGGGGGTCCTCACGCAATTTTGAAGCTTTTGGCAAAGTATAACACTTTATGGGAAAGTATAGCACCTTATGACCAAAGTATAGCACTATATGGCAAAGTATAGCACTTTATTGACAAAGTATAGCACCTTATTGGCAAAGTATAGCACCTTATGCTCTCTGGAAATTCTGCACCTTAAGTTATCTAAAACCAAATCAGTTTTTTTCACCGCAACGCAAACACTCGATGACCTATGTTACGTGTTTATTGACCAATCATCCACCGTGACGGGGGGTCCTCACGCAATTTTGAAGATTTTGGCAAAGTATAGCACTTTATGGAAAAATATAGCACCTTATGACCAAAGTATAGCACTATATGGTAAAGTATAGCACTTAATTGGCAAAGTATAGCACCTTATTGGCAAAGTATAGCACCTTATGCTCTCTGGAAATTATGCACCTTAAGTTGTCTAAAACCAAATCAGTTTTTTTCACCGCAACGCAAACACTCGATAACCTACGTTACGTATTTATTGACCAATCATCCACCGCGACGGGGGGTCCTCGCGCAATTTTGAAATTTTTGGCAAAGTATAGTACTTTATGGGAAAGTATAGTACTTTATGGGAAAGTATAGCACCTTATGACCAAAGTATAACACTATATAGCAAAGTATAACACTTTATTGGCAAAGTATAGCACCTTATTGGTAAAGTATAGAACCTTATGCTCTCTGGAAATTCTGCACCTTAAGTTGTCTAAAACCAAATCAGTTTTTACACCGCAACGCAAAATTCTGCACCTTAAGTTGTCTAAAACCAAATCAGTTTTTACACCGCAACGCAAACACTCGATGACCTACGTTACATGTTTATTGACCAATCATCCACGATGACCTACGTTACATGTTTATTGACCAATCATCCACCGTGACGGGGGGTCCTCGCGCAATTTTGAAGATTTTGGCAAAGTATAGCACTTTATGGGAAAATATAGCACCTTATGGCCAAAGTATAGCACTATATGGCAAAGTATAGCACTTTATTGACAAAGTATAGCACCTTATTGGCAAAATATATTACCTTATGCTTTCTGAAAATTCTGCACCTTAAGTTGTCTAAAACCAAATCAGTTTTTTTCACCGTAACGCAAACACTCGATGACCTATATTACGTGTTTATTGACCAATCATCCACTGTGACAGGGGGTCCTCGCACAATTTTAAAGCTTTTGGTAAAGTATAGCACTTTATGGGAAAATATAGCACCTTATGGCCAAAGTATAGCACTATATGGTAAAGTATAGCACTTAATTGGCAAAGTATAACACTTTATTGGCAAAATATAGCACCTTATGCTCTCTGGAAATTCTGCACCTTAAGTTGTCTAAAACCAAATCAGTTTTTTTCACCGTAACGCAAACACTCGATAACCTACGTTACGTATTTATTGACCAATCATCCACCACGACGGGGGTCCTCGCGCAATTTTGAAGCTTTTGGCAAAGTATAATACTTTATGGGAAAGTATAACACCTTATAACCAAAGTATAACACTATATGGCAAAGTATAGCACTTTATTAGCAAAGTATATCACCTTATTGGTAAAATATAGCACCTTATGCTCTCTGGAAATTCTGCACCTTAAGTTGTCTAAAACCAAATCAGTTTTTACACCGTAACGCAAACACTCGATGACCTACGTTACATGTTTATTGACCAATCATCCACCGTGACGGGGGGTCCTCGTATAATTTTGAAGATTTTGGAAAAGTATAGCACTTTATGGGAAAGTATAGCACCTTATGACCAAAGTATAGCACTATATGGCAAAATATAGCACTTAATTGGAAAAGTATACCACCATATTGGCAAAGTATAACACCTTATGCTCTGTGGAAATTCTGCACCTTAAGTTGTCTAAAACCAAATCAGTTTTTTTTCACCGCAACACAAACACTCGAAGACCTACGTTACGTATTTATTGACCAATCATCCACCGTGACGGGAGGTCCTCGCGCAATTTTGAAGCTTTTGGCAAAGTATTGCACCTTATGGCCAAAATATAACACTATATGATAAAGTATAGCACTTTATTGATAAAGTATAACACCTTATTGGCAAAGTATAGCACCTTATGCTCTCTGAAAATTCTGCACCTTAAGTTGTCTAAAACCAAATTAGTTTTTTTTACCACAACACAAATACTCGATGACCTACGTTACGTGTTTATTGACCAATCATCCACCACGACGGGAGGTCTTCGCGTAATTTTGAAGCTTTTGGCAAAGTATAGCACTTTATGGGAAAGTATAGCACCTTATGGCCAAAGTATAGCACTATATGGTAAAGTATAGCACTTTATTGACAAAGTGTAGCACCTTATTGGCAAAGTATAGCGCCTTATACTCTCTGAAAATTCTGCACCTTAATTTGTCTAAAACCAAATTAGTTTTTTTCACCGCAATGCAAACACTCGATGACCTACGTTACGTGTTTATTGACCAATCATCCACCGTGATGGGAGGTCCTCGCGCAATTTTGAAGCTTTTGGCAAAGTATAGCACTTTATGGGAAAGTATAGCACCTTATGGCCAAAGTATAACACTATATGGCAAAATATAGTACTTTATTAGCAAAGTATAGCACCTTATTGGTAAAGTATAGCACCTTATGCTCTCTGGAAATTCTGCACCTTAAGTTGTCTAAAACCAAACCAGTTTTTTTCACCGCAACGCAAACACTCGATGGCCTACGTTACATGTTTATTGACCAATCATCCACCACGACAGGGCGTCCTCGCGCAATTTTAAATCTTTTGGCAAAGTATAACACTTTATGCGAAAGTATAACACCTTTTGGCCAAAGTATAGCACTATATGGCAAAGTATAACACTTTATTGGCAAAGTATAGCACCTTATTGGCAAAGTATAGCACCTTATGCTCTCTGGAAATTCTGCACCTTAAGTTGTCTAAAACCAAATCAGTTTTTTTCACCGAGGTGGATAATTGGTCACGCGATACATAATGTAGGTCATCGAGTGTTGCATGGCCTAAAAAAACTGATGAATATACACAAGCTGAGTAGCCAATACAACTTGCTCAGTGCTTATCAAGTTCATTATAGATTATCACTTCTCATACAATTATCACTTGCACATAACATTGAATGAAATTAATCCATGAAGACACTATGGAAATAATCCAAAATCACCACTATCGAAACATTGTATACATTTCTACTATATACATTTCTACTAGATACACTGATAAATTTCTAATAGAAAATTTTATACAACATGATACATTGGATAGTGCATTTGATACAATATACACAAAAATCATCTTTATATACATAATATAGAAAATTTCATACAACACGATACATTGGATACTACTTGGTACATCATATTGCAGGCTGTAGTTGATTTGCCGTTTAGGTTGCAATGTGATAGCAATGCGAAGATCTGATTGAATGCCAAGAGTGGGAGATTCTCTCATGTATTTGATTGAAAGGTTAGTGTGTATTGACGAATGGTAAAAAATAGTAATAATAACATATTAAAATATCT